GAGTTCCGCATTGCCTTGAAACCATAAGCAAAACTAATGCAGGCCTTTAGTTGTCATAAATTCTTCTCTTCGGGCTGCCGTTTTTGTAATTCGGCATGCCAAAGTCCTCTGCCAATGCCCTGCTTTTCCTTCTCATCTGTCTCTTTGTTCTCCAGGAGTATGGCTTTCTCGTGGAAGTTCAAAGCATTCCATTCCCCCCCCCCTTAGATAGGATTAAACTATTCTGCAAAAACTGGGATAGCTACAAGTCTGAGGAACACATTTGCTATTAGAAAACAAGATGAGAAGGTCTTTCTTTGCATGCTGATGTATACTTGGCCTCAGGGCTTGCTCCATGCCCAAACGAGTCTTTGGTAGATGATAGTGGGCCTTTTCCTACACAGTGTAGGCTTCTCCTGGTTGAGGGCTTACCTTTGGGAAATTAGATATGTCCTCTAATGTTTCAAAGCTGCAGTGTGTTGTGGCACATTTTAAGCAACAGGATCCCATGCCCTATTCCTAGGAAGGAAGCACCAAAGGGCCCTGCCAGGCCAATAGGGCTTCTAGCACTTGCCTAAGAGAGCCACGTGCTTGGAGCCACATGCTTGGAGTAGTCAACTGCTTAACCCTATAGTAGGCAAATTCCACTATGTAACAAAATTTGGGAAAAAATATTCCTGGTTTGAAAGTGTTATTCCTGTTTATGTTGTAGTAGAGTCTGTTGGCAACGCTGCAACTGGTAGTAGCGGTAACAGTAGAGGGAAAAGGAGTGCTCAGGAGTTAAACGAGGAACAGCAGAGGAAGAGGAACCGGGAGATACTTATGTCACCCACTGATGAAGATTCCTTCGAAGGGTTTTCTGGAAGTGAAATGAGTGAGGAGGAGGAAGGGGATATAATGGATATGAATAGGAGAACTAAGAGGATTACTCGGGAGCAGGAATTGGATGAGGAGTGACAGAGGAAGAGGATTCAGGACATGCTTACTGTTCCCACAGAGGAGGAGGATTTCATGGGTTTTTTCTGGGAATGATGGGTCTGGGAGTGATGAGGGTGAGGAATCACTGGATTGGACCAAGGTACAAAAGGTTTGGGATGTGTGTACTCAACCAATGTCTAGTGACACATTTGTGAGGTTTTCTGGTGGCGGGGATTGGCAATCGGGTGATACTGTGGAATCTTGGTGAGACCTAAGTCTTGACAAGAGGTGGAAGAGTTGGAGGGATGGGCGTTGGCGCTCAGCTGTGGAGGCTAAGCCAGCTGTAAGTGATGATGATGGGGTGGAGGGCAGCTCATCATCGGGTGATGAGTTGTAAGATAAAAGTAGGCACTGAAATGGTAGAACTTTGCAGTAGGCAAAGTGTTGGTTTCGTGCCTTGGGTTTTGTTGCCGCTTTCGTGTTGGGCTTGGGTCCGGGATCTGCAGGTTGCTGTTTAACCTCATGTGACAACTCGGCTTGGATTCTTGTAAGTGCGGATTTCCCCTCTCCTCGACTTTGGACTGCTTTTGACGACGATGCTGCCTTGTGGACTTTGGAACCTTGCAACTTTGGACATGTATTTCTTCGACTTTGGACTTCATTTGGATGACGGCTCTTTTCATTTGCTGTGTAATTTTGTGGGATTTTGGAAGTACTTCAGTTTAATCCGGATTTTTTCCCTGGATAATCGGGATTATTGCTTTAGTTTGTTTTTCAAACTGGAAATTGCTACAACTTTTGAGTTTTGACCAGAGGCACTGAAGTAAGTGTCTCTGAGTCTTGTTTACTTTGTATTAATAAACTATTCTTTTGGACATACTCCTGAGTCTGGCTCTTTAAGGCGTCTGGGTTCTGACAGTTTAATTGCTTTGTTTCTCTTAACCATGCAGAGCCCTCTAAATGGTTATCATTGGTGACATTGCATCATTTCCTATGTGCCCAAAACATGCCCATGTGGCTCACCAGGCAGGACCCTCTTCACAAGTACCTGGCTTAATTTTATACTTTCCCCTGGTCAGTAGCATATCAAAGCTTCCTTATTCTCATTGCATCCTCAGAGATATGTGTCATGTACATTCAATAAACTCCTTAATTCATTAATATTACATGTTTGGGTTGTTTTGAAGCTGCTTCTGGAATCTGTTTTATCTGAAACCTAGTCACCGGAGGCAGGAATGAGAGCATTGTCCCCAAATCTTAATCAACAACTGACATTTTCCATCCATCCCCCATATTTGTGCATTGCAAGAATTTACACTTTGACTTTAGATGGGCAATGCTCTGTGCTTTTAGAAAAAAAAATGCCATAGAGGGGCCTCATTGACATGACCATAAAATCCAGTTTCTGAATCCAGATTATCTCCTTTGAACTTGAGCCCCTTGTGGCACAATGGGTTATCAGCAGGACTGCTGACTGATAGGTCAGCGGTTTGAATCTGGGGAGAGCAGGTTGAGCTCCCTCTGTTAGCTCTAGCTCCCCATGCTAGGATATGAGAGAAATCTCCCACAAGGATGGTAAAACATCTAGGCGTCCTCTGGGTAACTTCCTTGCAGATGGCCAATTTATTGTCGAAGGCTTTCATGGCCGGAATCACTGGGTTGTTGTAGGTTTTTTTGAGCTATATGGCCATGTTCTAGAGGCATTTTCTCCTGACGTTTCACCTGCATCTATGGCAAGCATCCTCAGAGGTTGTGAGGTCAACCTCACAACCACCTCACAACCTCTGAGGATGCCTGCCATAGATGCAGGCAAAACGTCAAGAGAGAATGCCTCTAGAACATGGCCATATAGCCTGAAAAACCTACAACAACCCAGATGACCAATTGTCTCACACCAGAAGTGACTTGCAGTTTCTCAAGTCACTCCTGACATTAAAAAAATCACTTTGAAATGGATTATATGGCAGTGTAGACGCATATAATCCAGTACAAAGCAGATAAGATTGAATCATACCCTGGATTATATGGCAGTGTGGAGCAGTGTGGCATTATCAAGGGAACGTGGAAACACCAAACATCCACATGTGAGAGGTCTTCTATGTTTCACTTTGCAAGTCCAAAGGATTCCAATCTCTGCCAACCCTTTTGAACAAACAAGGGAGAGCACCAGAACTTGTAAATTGCTGAGTAAAATATGCCACACTGTTGCCCCCACACCAGCTATTGTGTTGCGGTGGCTTTGTGTCTAGATGCTTGTTAAGCATTATTAGCCTCCTCGGTGGTATACTGCTGACAGTGTGACAATAAGACAAGACATATTTGGTTTCGAGATCAGATCACACAATACAATGGGAGTATATTACTCACAGGACAATGTACCTGACTGTAAAATGAAGTAGAATGTGTATGTTCAGAGAAATATGATTAATCTATGCACCTAGAGAGGGAACACAGAAATAAACAGGAATACTACTATGGAGATATAGCAGGAAATGAAGAGATGAGATAGGAATTTGATTTGTTCAGTTGAATAAGTGTGATTTTTTTTCTTGTGTCAGGAGCGACTTGAGAAACAGCAAGCCGCTTCTCATAAAATCATAGAGTTGGAAGAAACCTCGTGGGCCATCCAGTCCAACCCTATTCTGCCAAGAAGCAGGAAAATCGCATTCAAAGCACCCCCGACAGATGGCCATCCACCCTCTGTTTAAAAGCCTTCAAAGAAGGAGCCCCCACTACACCCTGGGGCAGAGAGTTCCACTGCTGAACAGCTCTCACAGTCAGGAAGTTCTTCCTCATGTTCAGATGGAATCTCCTTTCTGGTGTGAGAGAATTGGCCATCTGCAAGGACGTTGCCCAGGGGACACTAGGATGTTTTGATGTTTTACCATCCTTCTGGGAAACTTCTCTCATGTCTCCACATTTATTTATTTATTTATTTATTTATTTACTTACAGTATTTATATTCCGCCCTTCTCACCCCGCAGGGGACTCAGGGCAGATTACAATGTACATATACATGGCAAACATTCAATGCCATAGACCAGGGGTCCTCAAACTTAGGCCCGATGGCCGAATACGGCCCTCCAAGGTCATTTACCCAACCCTCGCTCAAAGTCAACCTAAGTCAAAAATGACTTGAAAGTACACAACAACAACAATCCTATCTCATCAGCCAAAAGCAGGCCCACACTTCCCATTAAAATATTAATAAGTTTATATTTATTAAAATTGTTCTGGATTTTAATTATTGTATTGTTTTAAAGTGTTTTTGTACTATGAATAAGATATGTGCAGTGTGCATAGGAATTCATTCATGTTTTTTTCAAATTATAATCCGGCCCTCCAACAGTTTGAGGGACTGTGACTTGGTCCTCTATTTAAAAAGTTCGAGGACCCCTGCCATAGACACACAACATATATAGACAGACACACAGAGGCTACTTAACATTCTAGCTTTTTGATGAGGGTATTCTGGCCACCAGGGGAGCTGTCACTTCACCGTCCATTTGTGACATTGATGAAGTACTTTCTCATTCTTTGCATGCATGCTTGCTGGAGATTTTTATGGCATTGTAAATTAGTTATATTAGCCTACCTAAATTTCCTGCTTGGCAGATGCAACTGTCTTTCGGGCTGCAAAGTTCGACAGCAAGCTACACAAATTGGTCGGAAGCTCACTACGACCTGGCTGGCTTCGAACTTATGAGCTTTCAGTAAGTAGTGATCTTAATACAGCTGACTCCCAGACAGCTGCGCCACAGTCCTGGTGCTGGAGCTGGAGCTGACAGAGGGAGCTCATCCGTGCTCTCCCTGGATTCGAACCTGCAACCTGTCAGTCTTCAATCCTGCCAGCACAAGGGTGTAACCCACTGCGCCACTGGGGGCTCCTAATAAGTGTGGGTAGCACAGTTCTGCATATCAGGAAGAGAACTGACACAACTAAAGGTTGCAATTCAAGGGAGGGAGGGAGGGAAGGAAGCAGGCTGCGTGTGTGTGTGAATATGTATTTCACTGGCAAAAAAGAGAAAGGAGCATGTATACAATCCTCCTGTCATGCCATCTTTGGGCCTCTTAAAAGTCTGTCTATCCTACTTACTACTTACCAAGCCTTCACTGGGCATGATGCTGGTAAGATGAACAACTTCGAGGTGAGCGGATTGTGACACCAGAGAGTCGGATGAGAGGGAGATGATGTGATCACAGATGCCAGACAGCGTTTTACACTGGAGCAGACGAGAGAAAGAGAGTGACAGAGAGACAGAGAGATTAGAAGGACTTTAATGGAAGCACTAACACCAAACACCAGTTGCTGGTCGCACGTTATTTGTGGACACTTTTCACAAATCTGCATGTGTATGGAAACCCAAAGGACGTTCAGCGTAAACACTGCAGAAAACACACATCAACACTCACATTGAGGGCATAGAAAACATCTTGCTCCAGACACTGCGTCTTGCGCCGGAGACAAAGTGCTGAAATCTTCCTTCTTGAAAACCAAACTACTTTCTATAGCCCAAAGTGGTGAGAATTGAATTAACCTCCTGTGCTGATAGATTTAGATCGAATCTGCTGTAAGTCCTCTAATGGCAAGTCTGAGTCTTTCCCATTTACGGAGAGCAAGAAGTCTCTTGTTGGCTCTTTCTTCTGAGTGCGTTTACATTGTAGTAGAATTGCTGCAGTTTGACCGCATTTTAACTGCTATAGCTCAATTCTAGTGAATTATGGGAGACTCTAGCACTCTGGGACAGATAATATTAAGGACATAATAAAACTACATTTCCTAAGAACAAAAGGGAGAGGTAAATAAGAAATAGTTGTCATTGGCTCTCCACATTTGCAGCTTTCTTTTGTGGATTTGATTTTTCACCCATTTGATTACTATGCTCTCTCTAGGAATCTGTAGCTCCTCCAGTGTGACTCCATGGCCAATGTCCACCCGAAACTGACCATAGGGTCATGCTGAAGGTCATAGAGATTCCTAGAGAAAAGACCTCTAGGTTCTCCAGTGTCATTCTATGGTCAACTTCCACAGTAAAAAGTATTTCAGTAGGTTCATATGGAGTTATAAGGTCTTTTAATTAATTTGGACCTAAGCTGTATAGGTCTTTATGTGACATTACAACATATTATAGAATCATAGAACCAAAGAGTTGGAAGAGACCTCATGGGCCATCCAGTCCAACCCTCTGCCAAGAAGCAGGAATATTGCATTCAAATCACCCCTGACAGATAGCCATCCAGCCTCTGTTTAAAAGCCTCCAAAGAAGGAGCCTCCACCATACTCTGGGGCAGAGAGTTCCACTGCTGAATGGCTCTCACAGTCAGGAAGTTCTTCCTCATGTTCAGATAGAATCTGCTTTCTTGTAGTTTGAAGCCATTTTTCTGCGTCCTAGTCTCCAGGGAAGCAGAAAACAAGCTTGCTTCCTCCTCCCTGTGGCTTCCTCTCAGATATTTATACATGACTATCATATCTCCTCTCAGCCTTCTTTTCTTCAGGCTAAACATGCCCAGCTCCTTAAGCCACTCCTCATAGGGCTTGTCCAGACCCTTGATCATTTTAGTCGCCCTCCACAGTGGATGTGACTCTTAATGAGACATATCACATTATCACAGGATGTCTATGCCCAACACCACTGGAGAAATTATACTGATTAGCTGTTATTGCACCACCTGATATCCGTCGGGCAGTAGCAGCCGGTAAATAAATGTCCAAGGCACAGGCATTTCCAGCCGATCCTCTGTTCAGACATAAGCCAGCATGCCAACATCTTAAATCAAGAAATAGTTTTCTATATCTACAGAGATACTCGCAGGAACACCTCAGCAAGCGAGAGTCCAAAAGTGGCAGGCTAAAACCCGGAACCTCAATCAGTGACTGATATTGGATGTGAAACTCCCTCCAGAAAACTGGGTAATTTGGAAGGCGCTGAACAGACTGCATTCTTGGACCACGAGATGCAGAGTGAATCTTAAGAAATGGGGCTACAAAGTGGAGTCTGCAAGATGCGAGTGTGGAGAACAGCAAACCACAGACCACTTACTATAATGCAGCCTGAGTCCTGCCACATGCACAACGGAGGACCTTCTTATAGCAACACCAGAGGCATTCCAAGTGGTCAGCTTCTGGTCACAGGAAGTTTAGCATAATGTCAAGTTTTTAACTTTGTTTGAGTTTTTTTGTTCATTATAACTGTATTCTCAATTTGCTTCTGAAACTATAAATAAAATAGCATGCTGCCTTGTTCTGGAAATGAAGTTGTTGGTGAAGATTCTTCAACATAGAGATTGAAATTAACAACATTGGGAAATGGGGAATATTTTAACTTTCTGGCTGTGTGGATCTACAGATGGTTTTATCCATCCATCCATCCATTGTGTGATGCTCCATCTCCTCTGTCACTGAAACTGGCCATGCATTCAAGAAATAGAAATCTCCCTATTGTGGGTCCTCGTGTACTTGTTGATTTGTAAATCACCTGCTGGACCAAACTTCTAAGGATGTCTATTTTGATTAACTAGAAAAGGTCCAAGCGAAGAAGCTGGAACAAAGTATTAATTAATTCTGGTGGCTAAACAATCAATGTGTATTGAAACTGTTGCAATGCAAACAAACTGAAACAAAAGGAGAATAGTTTATTTGTTTTGTCCCATCTGTTGTAAACACAACAGAGATAAACCTGTCACAAAATTGTTGTATTTTTTTTTTGCAATATACCTCACAATTTAAAGCCATTTTGCATCTATTAAACTGTTTCCCCGAAATGCTTCCTTGAAATTTCTACCTGTTGATACAAGTCTACCACTACGTCAGATACATATTAGTCGTCCCCTGCCAGGCATTGCTGTGGCCCACTCTGTGCATATGTGTTTTGTGTGTGTATATTAGGCCTGGGTAACAACGGAAAAATTTGTTTCTAAACTCGTTTCGTTTTTAGGGGTCCATTGCATTTTGTTTTTTAAATGATTTCTGAAATTTTCTTTAAAAAATTTCGTTATTTACGAAATTTTGTAAATTTCGTAATTGATTCGTTAATGGCGGACGCGATTGCGCAATACGCAAAAAAAACCTCCAAATGGGACAGGGGAAACTTCTGAAGCTTCCCTCTCCCTCTGTTGTTGGCTGTTGGTGTGATAATTTATTTTTTTATCACTGATAAAACAAACAACAACTATAAAACTTGCACCAGACATACGGAAATAATAACAAAACGATTTCGAAACGATTACGAATCAATAACAGATCAATTACGAATCAATTACGAATCAATTACGAAATTGATAAAAAAAATCGTTTCGTTATTTGGATGCTCCAGAATGGTTCGTTATCGGTTCGTAAGCTAATTTAAATACGAATCAATAACGAATTACGAAATTAACGAACGAAACCGCCCAGTCCTAGTGTATATATATGTGTGTATATATTTGTGTATATGTGTATATATGTGGTTTTGCACATGTGTTGTAATGTAATTTTTTTGGGCTTTTAAAATCTCTTCCACTGTGTTTTTTGGTGTTTTTATGAGTGATGGTCACTTGTTGGCCTGATAGGTGTATTGTGTCAATTTGTCCGGTGGTTTTTGAGTTATGTTAATCCCACAAATGAACATTACATTTATATATATTTGAATTCATTGTGAAGATATGTCTCAATCTAGGAGGAAGATGAGGTCAACAAAGAAGGGGGAAAGATAGGAGGGTGTAATCCTGCATTTGTAAGCTACCTTGCAGGTAATATTGCATCTATATGCACTTCTCGGCTGCTCAAAAGGCAATGCAACAAAATGGTTAGAAAGCCAAACAAGGACTAGAGAGATCATCCCTACTTAGTGATAAAGCTCAGAAGGTGGCTTCAGGCCAGTTACTGCCTCTCAGCCTAACCTACATCGTAGAATTAGCATTATTGTGAGGATAAAAACTGATGTGAGTGGGCATACTTGCACATGACCATCTGCTCCTTGAACACAGAACAATCGCATGTGTCAAGACCCACGTTCTGAATACGCCCCGCCCCATCCTTTCATGTGGTTCTCCAGATGCTGGACTACAACTGCTGTATTATTCGTCACTAGACAAGCCAACTAGAGCTGATGGGAGTTGTGATACAGTAACATCTGAAAGGACGCAGTTTGTCCTGTATAATCAGGAGAGTGGGGTTTGGATTCAGATACAAAGCTTGAGGATATGATGTCTTCGAGTGTATTTATCCTTTCCCCAACTTCAGTGTTGCAGTGCTGATGGGTTGCAATCTCCGTCATCCCCACTCTATATGGTAGATTATAATCAGAAGGGAGTTGTCTTTCAATAGCATCCGGAGACCCAAACTGATTAAAAACTAAAGAGAACTGACCATTATGTCACATATATAGAGCTGGCCCTCTGTATCCACAGATTCTTCACCCATGGCCCTTTGAAAGAAATCATAAGGTGGATGTAGCCCTTGATGAAAATGAGGTTCACACCCCTGCTCTAAATACTGGGCTTGTGGGGGAAATTCATTTCTACCATTCCTACTAGGCTTGGGCGGTTTCGTTCGTTAATTTCATAATTCGTTATTAATTCGTATTTAAATTAGCTTACGATCCAATATTGAGCCATGCAGGAATAGTGTGAGGAGTAAATTAGATTCGAAACAATTTTTTCAATTTATTTCGTAATTATTTCGAAATTATTTCGTAATTATTTTCGCATGTCTGGTGCAAGTTTTATAGTTGTTGTTTGTTTTATCACACCAACAGTCAACAACAGAGGGAGAGGGAAGCTTCAGAAGTTCCCCCTGTCCCATTTGGAGGTTTTTTTAGCATATTGTGCAATCGCGTCCGCCATTAATGAATCGATTCGTAATTATACGAAATTTCGTAAATTTTGAAAATTTTAAAAGGAAAATTTCGGAATTCTTTTAAAAAACGAAACGCAATGGACCCCTAAAAATGAAATGAGTTTAGAAACAATTTTTTCCGTTGTTACCCAAGCCTAATTCCTACCATTTCTTTTGTGTTTTCCTTTTCTTCAGAAGAATGAAATGGGAAGCCCCCTGCCCACATGAAAATCTGATCAACACGAAAGCCTGCTTTCATGTGTATCTGAACTTGGCTCCTCTCCTTGGAAAGAGAGCATATGTGTAGTGGGGCATGCAGGCAGGCAGGCCTGGAGCTCTGCTGCAGGCATACTCCAGGCTGTCCTGCATGCCTTGCCACACAAGCACTCTCAGAGAGTGTGGCGTGGC